CTTTATTTTTATGGATTCATTTTGTACTTTAATTGAAACTAAACCTTTTTGTTCATTAATGAATTGGCTAGTGTGGACCTCCTTTTTCCCAAAAAAAAAAAAGTTACATATTTTTGTATGTAATTCTTATATTTCAAAATTATATTTATAAAGTATAATAATTGCGTAATTATTTTAATTAAATAAGTATTAGTATATTAAAACATATATAAATACCATTCAATTTTGTATTCAAAGCCACTGAAGTCTAATAATGCACACAAAAAAATTCTTAATAAAATTTTACAAATAAACATTGTTCAATCATTCAGAAAGACGATTTCTTAGAAAATCAGAGACTCGTATTTATTGAGTATCCAATGTGGCAAAGCAATGAGAACGTAACAAAAAAATTAACTTCTTATTTCATTTAAATTTTAGAAATATTAAATTTATTTTGAAAATGGTTCAAACTGGAACTAGTGTTTTTGATAATTTGGAACTTTCAATCGACTTACTGGAGGAAGAGCACGTTCATTCGGCTCTCAAATATGAGAAGATTAGGAGGAAAATTATATGGTATCACAATCTACATATAAGTGAAAAGTCATTCAAATGAGGGTATATAGTCCTCAAGAAAGTTGATCCAGTTGCTCACGACCAAATCCTAGGAAAGCTTGACCATACATCGACTAAACCATTTATCATCAGCGAACGTGTGGTCCAGAGTGCATACAAACTACAAACCTCCACTTGGAGTGGAGATGACCTAAAAAATTTTTACCCTTGACATCTATGTAGTTTTATTTTCTTTCATGAGATTTTATAATTCATAGCATGATCAAACATTGATTTTAGTTCGAGAAGACTTTTATAATAAAACTATGCTTCTGGGTGTATGGTAATAATGCATAATACTACTATCACAGTCAAAAAAAAATTTCATAAGCTAAGGGAAGAACTCACCGTAGCTCTGTCCAGATCTTGAGGAAGTGTCGAGAGCACTCTAGAAGTGGAAATAGTTCTCTCAAAGATTTCAATCATTTTGATTAAAAAATTGGAAGGCACACACGAACTCGGGGAACTTGACAAGGGAGGTTAGTCCCTCACAAGGAACGAGCTTCCCACAAATAAATTATAGAAAATAAATAAGCCTTCAAAGATGTCGCGATAATTAACCATCCATTCACTAAAATATTCATACATCTTATAACACTAGAGCAATGTAAAATCCCTCTACTCCTACCCGAAACACATGTCAAGCTCTGACAGTTAGATTCCCTCCTCACTCATGACACAATCCACGATGAGTAGTACATGAGTTGCTCCAGTGGCAAGTCTAGATGATTACCTATGGACTCGTTATTTCACGAAGATGTTGTTCTTTGGAGCATTAATGAAATTGTATAAGGACCTCCATTGAACCTTTGACTCGAGTCTTTTATTTTAAATAAAACGATGTTTTTAGGGTGGAGTCAACTCCTATAAGTAGAAGGCACTGTACAAGAAAAAGGAGGAATATTCTAAGATTCTCACTTTTCCATTAATGATTTTTTTGATAATTCTATGTCTTTCTCAAAGGATTCTTATTTTTTATTTCTTCGTCTGCGTTGTATTTATTGGGCATGGCTCAATGACAAATATAAGTTCAACAGATATATATTGAACAACATATCAACATATTAAGAAAATATTATTAGAATATTTAACCTTAGATAATATTTAAAAAATGGTGAATCAATAGGTGTAAAAATTTATCCTAATTAATTAAAAAAATAAGTAAAATCTTAAAACACATGAATGGGCCATTTACTAGTTGAAGAAAAAAGGACTGGAGTTGGAATATATTTGAGTTGTTTGATTCAGAGTAAAATAAATATAGAATTTTTAGCAATGATCGGTTGTTACAGTGGTGACGACCGAAGTTACATGACTAGTTCACAGCCAGTGGCAACAACGAACCGGCTATGGCAGCCAATGAGGGTTGTCAACCATGAGATGAGCGGAAAAAGGGCAATTCCTAACGTTAGCAGGACCGAACAATGATGAGCAGAGGTAGGATGCAAGCAATGGTGGGTGGCGGGCTACTAGCCTTGCCAACAAGCGTTTTTAAAGTTCGTAAAAAATTAATATCTTTAAATAAATTAAAATTAAATACTATATTAAATTTAAGCTAATTTTTTTTGTCGAACTTTAGAATTTTAAGGTGTTAATTATGCCACTGTTAGTCATAAGCGTCTGCCGTCATCTGCTACCATCGTCGCAATCAGCCACCGTTGCCTGCCACCCACCTGTTGAGGAAAGTGGAGATTGGGTCCACTAAAGTTTTGGTAATAATTAAAGGTGTTAATTATGATATTAATTAGTCTTTCTTAATTATCCTTCTGCCAAAGCTTCTCCAGATTTTACGATTAAAGCCAGGAATATGAAGAAGGGATACTTGCTATTAAGGTTTTCCTTAATGGATCTAAAAGAAGAATTATAAATACATTTGTGTTTATAAGAAGGTGATTAAGCATGCGATTAGCTTATAGAAGAGTTAAATATCGCATACTAGCTGCTCCCTTATCTAGTCATTTGGTGCGAAGCTTACGGGGAAAAAGAGAACTGCTTTTCTTTTGTATTCTTTTTCTTCTCGTGTAGCTCTCGGGTGGCCTCGACTTATAGGGAGAGAGAGAAGGAGGAGGGAGAGATAGAGAGGAGGGAGAGAGAGAATTATTTTATTATAATCGTCGAGGTGATAGACGGGTGTCATCCTCAAAGTAATAAAATCCTCTGCAGCTCCATGGATGTAGGCAATTTGCTAATTCCAGAGAGAGGGGAGGTGCATAAGAAAGATTCTAGCGAGACTTTGGGTTTGAGTTCGGCATTATTTGATGATTCCAGAGGGAGATCACAAGACAGGAACTCAAACAGAAAAAGATCAAAATCAAAGCATGGCCAGAAAGCAACCAACTAAAATTGTGGCAAAACTGGTCACATAAAAAGGAACTACATGAATCCTAAGAAGAAGGAGAATGATAGCGCGAAAATTGTAACTGAAGAAATACATGATACGCTACTGCTAACAGTTCACAGTTTTGTTGATGACTGGATACTGGATTCAGGTGCTTCCTTCCATACATCTACCCATCGTGAGTTAATGTGAAATTATGTTGCAGGTGACTTTGGGAAGGTATATCTGGCTGCTGGAAAAGCTTTGAACATGGTGGGGATGAGAGACGTTGAAATTGCACTCCTTAACAAGAGCAAATAAAATTTGCAAAATATCAGACACATTCCTGAGTTGAAGAAAAATCTTATTTCTATTAAACAACTCAATGAGGGTGGTCATTTAGTAGTGTTCTCAAATAGCACTTGGAAGGTTACCAAAAGAGCACTAGTACTGGCTCGAGGTAAAGAAACTAACACACTATATATAACTACAGGTTTTCTCAACACTATTGGGTACTATAGTTGCAGAGAGCACGATATATTTGTGGGATTACAGGCTTGGTCACATGAGTCAGAGCTATATACAAATCTTGCATGATGAAAGTTTGAGCAAGTGAGAGCTGACCATAAATAATGAGACGAATTCCCTGCTATGGAATCAAACTTGGGAGCTGACAGAACTTCCATTAAGGAAAAAGACATTACACAATAAGTAGGTTTACCAGGTGATAACTGAGTTTGATACCTGTAAGAGGTACATAGCTAGATTTGTTGAAAAAAACTTTCGGCAGAGGCAGTATATTTGTAAGCAGAAACATGAGTAACCCAGGAAAGAGCTTGGATGTACAAAATTATGTTGACGCTGATATGTTGACTAAGGGTATTACTATTAAGAAACTGGAGTTGTGCTCAACTTCAGTTAGTCTTCTAGCCTGAAAACAAGAGCATTGAGTTGCAGACGTGAAAGATATCATGTTTGAGAAAAGAGGACGGTGCAGCTAGTGGGTGATGCAGTCACTGTCAAAGTCTCAAAGTTGGAGAATTCTTCTTCTTCTCGTGTAGCTCTCGAATGGCTCTCGACTTAGAGGGAGAGAGAGAGAGAGAGGATGAGAGAGAAAATATTTTTTCTTGTAATTGTCAAGGTGATCAACGGGTTTAATCCTTGAAGTAGTAAAATCTTCTTCAGCTCCGTGGACGTAGGCAATTTGCCGAACCATGTAAAATCTGTGTGTTCCACTTGTTTCTTTTTTGTGAATTTTCTCGCTTCGTTTTTCACTTTATTGTAGTCGTTTTTCACAACACCACCGATATCTGTCGTCTACTATCTTTTACCCAAATAAATATATTATTTCCATTCAACTTCAAATCAAATAAAAAATATAAAGCCCTACATTTATTTGACAGTGAACAAAACAAAATAAAAGTATTTCAAATATATTACAATCATAGATTTTTTACATTTTATTTCATTTTTAGCAAACCAAACAACATTATTTTTTAGAGCATTTTAAGACTTAAGGACAAGTCTGATAGTGGATTTAGATTATAAAGCATGATTTAACTTGGATTTAACTTATATTTTGTGAGATGATCGATTCGAACAAAATAAAACCCCTTATTTTATAAATTCGGTTTTCACATTCGGTCGTAAATCTCAAATTTATTAAGATAGTACTGAATTGTTTCACGAATTTATTTTAACATGTTATATTTAATCTTATATATAATAATATATGGATACAACAGTGTAAGATACAATTATACAACAAATCTACCACACATATACATACATACATACATTCATACATTCATACATACATACATACATATATATATATATATGTATGTATGTATGTATGTATGTATGTATGTATGTATGTATGTATGTATGTAGATATGTAGATATATATATATATATATTCAGTCTTAAAAAGTTTGCAATGTCTTGAAAAGTTTGCAATGCCTGATAATAATAATCAGTCATGCCTAGCATATATATATATATATATATATATATATATATATAGAGAGAGAGAGAGAGAGAGAGAGAGAGAGAGGCGCGTGCGCGCACACCACCTCCAATTTCATCAGCCTCAGCCTTAGCCTTAGCCATGCACCTCAGCCTTAGCAATGCTCCTACAATTCACACATCCAACATAAGAGAACAAAAAATGCATTCGAGATCTGAGCCCAAGCTTTTGACCGAAAACCTGTCTTCCAATTCCACCACGCTGCCATGGTCTTATCGTCCCTCTTCCGAGCTGTGGCAGATACGAAGAACATCTCAAGAGGAAAGATTGTTCACAGCAAGATAATAGTCTCCTCTCTGCTCCCAGATGTCATCACGAGCAACCATTTGATGTCTATGTACGAAAAATTTGGGCTTTTGGATGATGCCGGCTTGGTGTTAGACCGAATGCGTAACCCGAACGTCGTCTCTTGGACTATACTTATAAACGCTCATTCCAAAATAGGCTCTGCAAAGGAAGCAATCGAGTGCTTCAGATTAATGGTTTCGAGAGGTTTCCAACCCAATGAGATCACTTATGTGAGCGTTACATCCGCTTGTGCAAAGCTTAGAGCTGTGAAGGCAAGCAAGGAGATTCATGGGAGGGTTTACAGGTTTGAAAATGTCATCTCAAATAGATTTGTGAGCAATTCATTGGTGAATTTGTGTTCAAAATGTGGTTTTGTTTGTTCAGCCCGGAAGGTGTTCGATCAGATTTCGCAGCCAAATTTATCATGGAGCTCCATGATTTCTGGCCATTCTCAATTTGGAGAGCATGGAGAGGCTTTGAGGATATGGTTAAGGGCTCGAAAATATTTTCTGGTGCTTAATGAGTTTGTGCTGTCCGCTGTGTTAAGTGCTTGTTCTGGACTGGAAGATTTAAAGGTGGCGAAGCAAGTCCACTGTTTTTCCCTCAAAAATGGTCTTTTGTCGGATTCCTTTGTGGAAGCTGGAACTATTGAAATGTATGTGAATTCCGGTGATCTGGAATCATCTTGTATTGCATTCTCAGATATAGAAGAACCCGAGTTGGCTTCTTGGGCTGCAATTATCAAAGGATATGCTTTAGAAGGCCACGGAGAGAAAGCAATGTGTTTCTTTCAGAAGCTGTAATCTACGGACTTGAGACCCAACGACGATAATAGTCTCCTCTCTGCTCCCAGATGTCATCACAAGCAACCATTTGATGTCTATCTACGAAAAATTTGTGCTTTTGGATGATGCCCGCTTGGTGTTCGACCGAATGCCTAACCGGAACGTCGTCTCTTGGATTATACTTATAAACGCTCATTCCAAAATAGGCTCTGCAAAGGAAGCAATCGAGTGCTTCAGATTAATGGTTTCGAGTGGTTTCCAACCCAATGAGATCACTTATGTGAGCGTTACATCCGCTTGTGCAAAGCTTAGAGCTGTGAAGGCAACCAAGGAGATTCATGGGAGGGTTTACAGGTTTGAAAATGTCATCTCAAATAGATTTGTGAGCAATTCAGTGGTGAGTTCGTATTCAAAATGTGGTTTTGTTTGTTCAGCCCGGAAGGTGTTCGATCAGATTTCGCAGCCAAATTTAGTTTCATGAAGCTCCATGATTTCTGGCTATTCTCAATTTGGAGAGCATGGAGAGGCTTTGAGAATATGGTTAAGGGCTCGAAAAAATTTTCTGGTGTTTAATGACGTGCTGTCCACTGTGTTAAGTGCGTGTTCTGGACTGGAAGATTTGAAGGTGGCTAAGCAAGTCCATTGTCTTTCCCTCAAAAATGGTCTTTTGTTGGATTCCTTTGTTGAAGCCGGAACTATTGAAATGTATGTGAATTCCGGTGATCTGGAATCATCTTGTATTGCATTCTCAGATATAGAAGAACCCGAGTTGGCTTCTTGGGCTGCAATTATCAAAGGATATGATTTAGAGGAGAGAAAGCAATGTGGTTCTTTCAGAAGCTGAAATCTACGGACTAGACCCAACGAGTATGTTCTCCCATCCATTCTGGTTGGTTGCTCCATTTCCCATTTAGTTGAAGAAGGGCTGCAGATCCATTCCCTTATAATAAAGTTAGGATATCAGATGTCTTCTTTTGTTGGCAACACAATTATGGATTTCCATGCAAAATGTGGAATGCTTAGAGAATCATTACGAGCAAGATATCATATCATGGAATGCTATTTTTGCTGCATTTATCAGACATGGTGATCTTAGTGGAGCTGCAAATTTTTTGAAGGAAATGTTATTTCAATCCAAAATCCAAAGAGCTAAATATATGCACTTACTCAAGTCTTCTTAGCCTCTGTGCTGAGCTTCCTGCTATGGAGTGGGGCCTCGAGACACATTGTTGTATGCTTAAACTTCTTTTTGATGCCAATGTTGTTGTCAGAAGCGCTGTGATTGACATGTATGCAAAGTGCGGATAGCTGAACTATGCTCTCGGGTTTTTAGCAGGATGCCTTCAGTAAACTTGGTCTCTTGGAACAGTATGGTTGTTGGTTATGCTCAGCATGGATTTGGCATGAATGCTCTAGAAATGTTTGATAGAATGGAAGAAGAAGGCATTCTCCCAAATGAGATTACATACATTGGAATCCTTTCTGCTTGTGCCCGTGCTGGTCTTGTTGACCGAGGAGAGATCCTTTTTCAACTTATGAAAATCAAAGGGATAATTCCGAGGATTGAGCACTATGCATGCATGGTTGATCTTTTTGCTCGAGCTGGGCAGACTAAAAGGGCCTACAAATTCATCAAAAGCATGCCCATGGAAGCAAATACTGTAATTTGGCGCAGTCTTTTGGCTGGCTGTAAGACCCATGGGGATTTGAACGTAGGAAAGCTTGCAGCAAAATATATTCTCAAGGATGATTGTCATGATATTTCAGCTCGTGCCCTATCTTCTGCTCTATATGCAGATGCTGGTTTGTGGGATAGGAGGTCTAAAGTTAGAAGCTTGCCAAAGAGGGAAGCTGAGAAGGTTCCAGGGAGAAGTTGGATTAAGGTGAAGGGTAGAATTCCTCTCCTGGATGATAGTGTAGGGATATAAGATGGGAATTTACCTGTATGCTACCCTGTTCTTATGTATTTACACAGCCAACACTCAAAATTTGTTATTTACACTTATTGCACTTAAGTGTCATAAACTTATGCATGAGAAGGTATATTTCATTTTTAAAAGGATAGTATAGTAATATTTTTGATGTGATGTTAAAAGGTTGATTGGTATGCTGTAAATATGAATGTCTAGGTATTAGATATGTAAATACTTGAGAATTGTGTGGTATGTATGTAAAGAATAATTACAGTATGTTTTAGTCATTGGATTATTAACTCTGTACTTTCCAAAGTTGGAATTCATTAGGTGATGAATGGCAGTAATTTATCAGTGAAAATTTCTGATGATAATGATGAGGGTACAAATTTGATTTGGAAAGAGAAGGAGCTTCTTCTAACAAACATTGCTTATGAAAAGGAAACAAATTTGATTTGGAAATCCAAGTTGGAGACTATACTACATACAATTTCTTAAGGATTTTTTATTGGAACCAAACCACTCAAGTGTACATAAGCACCACAGGAGCCAAAACGCAACGGCGAAATATTTTTTCTGCTTATCCTCAGCTCTGGCAAACAGCATCTTTACCTCCGAAAGAAAACTCCGTATTAGGTCAACTCATTCCTATTTCTCTTATGTATATTCATGGGAATATTTGTCATTTTTAATTTCCTATGTGTTTTTTTTTTTTTGAAGTATAGAAAGCTATCTTAAATATTTAATTATTGAAAAATAGGGCCTAATCATTGATTGTAGACAGGAGGCTTCACTTGATAAAAAATAGGGGAGCTTTGGCAGTGATTTGTATAAATTTTGAATAAATAATTGGTGGCATGCTTGGTTTTACTATGAAATCCATATGGTGGGAATATCTTAGCATTAATATCAACCACAATCAACAACAATCTTTTTTTTATTATTATTGTGAATAATAAATGATGTTTGCCCACCATTGAAACAACAACTAACTATTGTATTCAACTTATTTAAACTATTCTTATTATTAATACTAACAATCATGGCTTGTGGAAATATAACAGTTTATTCTCTAGCAGCCTTGTTTATTCTTATTCTTATGAGAATGTTCCTTAGGTGGATTTGTGCATAACTGGTTTGATTTAAAACCCGCTCCTTTAAGTATACTATCACGGCTTGGAAAATTATGATTGGTAGATTGAAAACTAAAGATGTTATTTCATTTAGAGGCTATGGTGGTTGTTTTTTTTTTTTTTCTTGCAACCAACATGAATCACAGTCTTATCTTTTCTTTGAATGCCCTTTATTATTCCCCCTTATCAAGCAATTCATTCCCAATATTTTGATGTTAGTTGCAAACTTAGCCAAATTCTTGTGTACTTTAACTCCTTCACCTGCACTTTGACTATCCTTACTTGTTGATATCCTTACTTCTCTTATGTATATTCATGGGAATATTTGTCATTTTAATTTCCTATGTCTTTTTTTTTTGAAGTATAGAAAGCTTTCTTAAATATTTAATTATTGAAAAATAGGGCCTAATCATTGCTTGTTGACAGGAGGCTTCACTTGATAAAAAATAGGGGAGCTTTGGCAGTGATTTGTATAAATTTTGAATAAATAATTGGTGGCATGCTTGGTTTTACTATGAAATCCATATGGTGGGAATATCTTAGCATTATTATCAACCACATTCAACAACAATCTTTTTTTTTTTTTTTTGTAAATAATAAATGATGCTTGCCCACCATGTGCCCACCATTGAAACAACAACTAACTATTGTATTCAACTTATTTAAACTATTCTTATTATTAATACTAACAATCATGGCTTGTGGAAATATAACAGTTTATTCTCTAGCAGCCTTGTTTATTCTTATTCTTATGAGAATGTTCCTTAGGTGGATTGGTGCATAACTGGTTTGATTTAAAAGCCGCTCCTTTAAGTATACTATCACGGCTTGGAAAATTATGATTGGTAGATTGAAAACTAAAGATGTTATTTCATTTAGAGGCTTACATTTTAATGCTATTTGTTTTTTTTTTTTTTGTTGCAACCAACATGAATCACAATCTTATCTTTTCTTTGAATGCCCTTTATTATTCCCCCTTATCAAGCAATTCATTCCCAATATTTTGATGTTAGTTGCAAACTTTGCCAAATTCTTGTGCACTTTAACTCCTTCACCTGCACTTTGACTAGGAAAATTTTCCTGCTTGCTATCCATGTTACAGCTCACTATCTCTACTTGGAAAGGAATATTAGAACTTTTAACAATGCTAGCAACACTAGTAATATTCTTTTTAACAAAATTTCATATCTTTTTAGACAAATAAGCAAAAAGTGAAAAAATAATGGCGAGCTTTCCCTGATTATTGATGATTTTACTTTAAATGAGCAATATTTGCCCAGTTTTTACTGGTGGGTGGAAAATGAATTTAACTCTGTGATGGGCTTAATTTCTTTGATTCCTTATCTTAGACACTACTCTACTACTAGTGGCCCCAAACCATTCCCATCATTACCGCAATGAATGGCATCGAGATATGCAGCAACAACAACTCTAGAAACCTCTATCACCTCCTATATATTATCTGTACTGTTTTTCCAACCAGATACACAATAGATGAAATGCTCTTTTCCTAATTCTCTTCTTTTCTGTTATGTGCCATGAGCTTCCATGTTGACATGGTATAAGAGCTTTTCTTCCTCATTGTAGTTTTTCAGCTTCAGCTTGCAGGCTCCATCATTAAGGTTGCAGAGCTGTTCGTGGGAAAGAAGGAAATGAACTTCAATATGGTAAGCCACATTGATTATCATTAAGTCTCCCCTCCCTCGAGGAATTGAAGAATTGGTAATGTCTAATTGTCAACCTTCTCTTATACGCACACAATCCACACTAATACCTCCCTCTCTCAAGTTACTCACCTCTCTTCTGAAACAATGTTCCCAAAACCTTCTTACCTCAGCTACATATCACATTTGGAGATCTCGCATCCTTGTATTTTCACGGCAAATGGGTTTGTCAGCTTCCTTGATGGCAGCAATCAATGTCCCCCAAGTTCGCAAGAGAATGTAAGCCGAAACCCCATATTCCAAATGTGGACACTTATTGATCAAAATCTAACTGCAACCCTATACTCACGATTTCACCAATGGTCCTTCCTCATATTTTTCACCCTAATACTATGACAGAGATTTAGGCAACCTTAGAGCGTAGATTACAACCTATAAACAGATCCAGGGCGATTCAATTAAAAAACAAACTTCATCACATATCAATGAAGGATCAAAATATGGCACTTCAAACATCTTGTGGACGCAACACTTCACTCACCAGGGGAAGAGGACGAAATCAGAGGAGGATACTCGGGTGGATCAGGAGGTAGAAGGTCATCAACACGATCCAATAGAACATTTCAAATTTGCCATAAAGTTTGTCACTCAGCATCCATTTGTTGGCAGGGGCAACTTTGAATGCACACCAACAAGTCTAGCACAAGCCCTCAATGCCACCTCAAGGAGTGGGTCTTAGATTCTGGTGCCACAGCCCACTTCACTTTGGAACTCTGTCAACTTCAACAAGCTACACCATACCATGGAAACTGAGCAAGTTATGGTTGGAAATTGACAGGTGGTTCGATTTCAGCACAAGGGCAATGGCATTCTTCCTACCCCCACTCGTAAGCTCAAATTTTCTCAAATTCACCACACTCATTTACTATCTCATAACCTCTTATCCATTCACAACTAACCAAGGATAATAATGTCATTATGTCTTTTGATCCTTATGTTTTTTTTTATTTCTGATCCACAGACTCAACAAATACCTTTAAAGGGTCCCAGTTCTAGAGGACTCTACTCCATTCCATCCTGTACTTCTCAACCACAAGCTTTTACTTTTTCTTTATCAAACATTAAGAAGGCTGATCTATGGCATCGGTGTTTGGAACACCCCCATTCTGACCTCATGACGGACCTCTCCAAATGCCACTCACTCATCATACCATCGGTCCAACCTCCCGCTATATCTGCAATCTTACCAAGAGCCACATACAACCATTTGTATCTAGTATAAGAGATATATATATATATATATATATATATATATATATATATAAACTATTAGAATTTATCCAGAGTGATGTATCCCCAATTATCTCTTATCAATGTTTTAGATACCACATTGCCTTTAATGATGAGTTCTCTAAGTTTTGTTGGGTTTTTCCTAGCATACTAAATCTGAAACCACCACACACTTATCTATAAATTTCATTAAATTGTTCCAATACCAATTTAATACTAAATCAAAGTTCTACATTCTGATGGTGGCAAAGAATATAATAACAATCCCCTAAACTCTTTTCTTAATGACCATGGCATCCTACATCAATATTGATGCCCTTACACAACAATGCAAAATGGTGTGTTTAACGCAAACACGGGCACATCATCAAAACAACTAGAGCTTTATTACACCAAGCAAACCTTCCCTACAAATTTTGGACAAATGGCATACAAACTGTGGTTCGTCTCATTAACTGCATGTCCACCAGAACCACCAATAATATATCAGCTTATGAACATCTTCACCTTTCCCCGCCATCATACACCCACCTTCAAGTTTTTGGCTGCACATGCTACCCATGGATGAAACCCCAAACCTCACATAAATTGGAACCTCGATTGGTTAAATGTATATCCCAAGGCTACTCACTCCAACATAAAGGATAAAAATGCTTCAATCCTATTACAAACAAAATCATTGTGTCAAGCCTTGTTTTTGATGAGCACTCATTCCCGTCTCCTTCCAAACCGGAAGTATCTCCGTCCTCTCAAAACTCCACTCCAACTCATATCCCAGTATTCCTCTTACAACCTACAACTTACTTATCTTCTCCTATCCAAACTACTCCACTCCCTCAATCACTTCCTTCCTATTCATCTCCACTAAAACCAATTACTACCTCCTCTACATCACCTACTTCTACGGCACAACAGGAACCTACTCAGCCCAATCAGCCACAACATCCTATGCTGACTCACTCCTAAACCGGCAAACTCAAACCAATCCAAAAAGTGAACCTGCTTCATCAAACCTAACCATTTTCTGACCCCATTTCCTACAAACAAGCCCCCAAACACTCTTATTGGTGCCATGCTATGCAAGAAGAATTCAACGCCCTTCAGTGACAAGGGACATGGGTCTTGATCCGCCCTCACCAAATCAAACCATTCTTGGGTCGCGCTGGACATATGCAACCAAACTTAACTCAGAAGTCAAAGTTATGAGATATAAGGCAAGACTGGTTGACCATGGTAACGGACAAGAATTTGGCATTAACTATCATGAAACGCTTAGCTCCATGGCAAAAATTTCAACCATACGCCTTCTTCTTACAATTGCTCTCCACCATAACTGGAAAATACTACAATTTGACATTGGAATGACACATTACAGGAGACCGACTATATGAAACAACCACCGGGGTTTATTGATCCACACTTTCCTAAACATGTTTTTCTAATCAAGAAATCACTATATGGTATAAAACAGGCTCTCTGTCAATGGTTTGTTACATTCTGCGCATTCTTCATGGCACAAGGTTTTCAGACCAGCAAAGTCGATACTTCCATGTTGCTATACCATCAGGACATGTGCGCACTTTGTTCTTATATGTGTTGATGATCTCCTTATCACTGGCAACAATACAGAGCCATATCTCAGCTTACCCGTGACATGGCTTCCTATTTTCAACTCAAAAATCTCAGTCCAATAGACTAACTTCTGGGAATCGAATTCCATCGCTCCAGCCAACATTACTTCCTCTCAAGAGAGGTACACACTTCAACTTTTTCATAATGCAGGCTTATAGGAATGCAAACCGGTCTGCACACCCATGCAACTCAAGCAAAGCAACACCAACAGCAACCCGGGGTCTCTTCTTTCCACAGTCCCAGACTCTACAAGCAACTAATGGGATCGCTTCAGTACGTAACAATCACTCAGCCCCTCTGACCGAAAATCCACAATTGGTGTATGTTCATTTCTAGGTGATACTCTTATTTCCTGGACAGTGAAGAAACAATCTACTGTTGCACGGTCCTCCACTGAGGTTGAATACCATGCTTTGACAACTGCTACTACCGGCATCATGTGGCTACGGAGACTCATTGCTGACTTTGAAAACCACTTATCATAGCCGACACGTCTCTACTGCGACAACATCTCATCTCCCTGGCCAACAATCCGATCTTTCATCCAAAACTAAAGCATATTGAGATAGATCATCAGTTCTTTCGTGACCACATTAACCTCAAAAACATTCAACTGGAACACATTCCAATCGACAGACCTACTTGTTGATATCCTTACAAAAGCTCTACTAAAATCTCAATTCCGTGATCTTCGCAACAAGCTGACTGCCCTCGTAAGAGCTATCAGCTTGCAGGAGGGTATTAGACACTACTCTACAACTAGTGGTCCCCAAACCATTCCCAATCATTACCACAATCGAAAGGCAGGGAAATATGCAGCAGCAGCAACTCTAGAAACCTCTATACACCTATATATATCTGTACCGTTTACATTCCAGGTACACAATAGATGAAATGCTCTTTTCCTAATTCGCTTGCTATCCTAATGTGTGATGAAACGAAGGCATTCTCTACATGTCTGTCCCTTTTATTGTTAATGCAGTTTTTTCATATAAATTTACATTTCTTGCCAAAAAAATCTATCATATTGAATTTTAGCCTGATTTTTAATAATAATAATGAAAGAAAAATGTTCGAAGTTGTTGAATTAATCAATGAAAAGTATTTATTCATCAAGGATGTTTATTGCTTGATATGTGGATATCTTGTGATCCGGTTGAGATGTTGGCCCTTGATTTAGTGTTCTTCATAAGAATGCATTCTTTTATATTAGATTTTTAGGATCAGTTCAATGAAAGAAAATTTTTAGTAAGATTTACATACAAACCGCCAAATTTCTATGTATTTACATATCTAAAAACTAAAATGCAATTTTAACATATATATATATATATACATACATACATATATACAACCTTATTTATAAATGTAAAAGATGCATTTCACTTTTAAAATGTTAAAATAATAGTATGTTTATGTTATTTGAAAGATTTGGTTGGTTAAATTGAAAAAGTGAAGTTTGTGTTTGATATGTAAATACATAGGAATTGGTTGGTATGTATGTAAATGCCCTAAATATTTAAGATTCAAAAGTTCTTACTGAGATGTGATTAAGGGTCCGTTTGGGGCATTTTTGCCTATTTGGATAAATTGTTTGTTTTTTGGCAGATTTTCCAAAAAATTGCAGCTAAAATCAGTGTTTTTTGTACTGCATTAGCTAGGTGCGATGACAATTTTCTAGCTGTGGTATGACTTTAAAAAAAAATTGTCATCTCTATCACAAATTTTTCGCTACATCAAATTATTCTTCAACAATTTCACCGTTGCTGCTTAATAAGCTATAACTGCCCAAACAGACCCTAGGTGGTCAATCGTGATGTATTATGGGGCTTTCAAGTATCAATCATTAAAAATTTTAAATATAACATTTTGACCATCTAAATTTAAAATTCACATTTTAAGCACTCACAAATTTAATTTTTTCAAAAGAGTTGTGATCAATCCATCATTTTAAAAATTTTGAGTGGTCTATACGTAAAAATCCCTATTATTAAATTATTTAAATGATATAATATTTCTATAATGATGGTTAATTAGTGATAATATATTTATTTTTGTCATAAACTACTTTGATTTGTATAATGATGGTTAATTAGTGATAATATATATTTTTTTGTCATATAGAAATATTATATTTTTATTGTTGAATGCTTTACTTTATCGTTGTATTATAGATATTCTTATTATTTAATTTTTTTTGTAACTTTATCATTGTAACATTAATAGAGGCTTATTTTATGTCTTAAACTCTGATTTGTTAAGAAATATGAGTTCAAGAACTACCATAACCTCTAAAGTCATATACTACAACTATCATTTATAATGTTTTATTTTTACATAATGATGAGAAACCAACTATCGGGGAAGCTTTATAGGTGCCCCAAAAATAGATCATAAGAGGATAAGACTTATTTAGATGGGGTGATGAGTTCAAGAAGTACACTTCAGATAGTGCCTATGTGTATAGAGTAGCTTTAGAAAGAAAGTTTTCATGTGGACTTGATCTTTTGGACATTAAGAGTAATATTATTGATCATATTACTTGTTATTATAATTTTAATTTTTGTGATATTTATTGTTATGTGATGTATAACTGTTAATGTAATATTTTGGACTTGTAACTTTTTAAGAAAATTTTAAATTCATTTATGTTATTATGTGTTAATTATGAAATGATTAGCTTACAATAACACATATATGTTAGAGCAATATGATCTTTATTCAAGAACCAATGCTTTACAGCATCAGCAGCTGATGTGAAGTTCAACTAAACATACAAACACAACTTCACTTACAACAGCTAGCTGTTGCACAACTGTTTCTTCTAACAGTTGTAGTTACTCCAAACATACCTTTAGAGTGGACAAATTAATTGAGTGAGAGGCTCCTTGGCGTAAATGAAGAAGAAGCACAACATAGAAAAAGTTTTCTTCCAATCATTTAACCCACTAGTGTGAGATCCCAATTTTTTGGTACCTAATTTAATTTCCTTAGGAAATTAGATAGTGGTCCGATAGTTGGCCATTTTTTCTTGCACTGAAAAATCAAATACTTAAATGCATAAAGTTAATTTACTTTAAAATAGTTTTAATAAATATAACTCTTTTCTATTAAATTTAAACAACGATAACTCATGCTTAGTTTGCTTTCTTTATTGCTTCCCTTGAGTTTGAACTTCATAGATCTATATATATATATATATATATATATATATTATGTTCATCATCCGGACATGTAGACAACGAATATATCACACCACACCACACTGTATGTTTGAAAACCTGATGTGATCTACATTACCGACTACATGTCCAACTTACAAGACGTAATATTTTCTAGTTGCATAGCTCGATGGTTACAATTGTCAAGTAGTGTAAACATCACACATACAATTCATCCCAAAATTAGCATCACCAAATCCATACTAATAATCATAAATTGCAGTATTACGCTATAATCATTAATACAAAAAAAGAAAAAAATAAAATAAAATTCATCCACAAAATATAAAATTTGTATAGAACCAAAACCCTACAATCAGTCAAGGAAACTTCAGCCTTCCCCAACGGCAACCTCAACGGGCAAAACGCCTTCAATACATAACTCCTGGTCACCGCCGACCGGAACTTGTACCTCACCTGGCCGAAAATCCACAACCCCACCGGAAAAACTCCGGCAGCGTTATCCCTCTCGAACTCGCCGCCGCCACCAATACCAATCGTCGACCGTCCGTCTAGCTCCGCCGCAACATCCGTCGTCTCCTTCCTTCCCTGGTAAAACACCGGCAGACCCTTCCACGCAATTCGCATCCCATCGTAGTCGGCTTGAGCTTCAAGCCAGTCGTAGTAGATGCCGGCCCGTTTGTTAGGGTTTCGGAATGTGAGATTGGTCGAGAGATCGAATGAAAGTGATCGGATGGAGGTGGAGGAGGATGTGAGGTTGAAACGACTGAGGGAAGCGGATGTTACAGCGATTCGCATCCTCTGAGGGCGGAATATGAGCCAGAGTATGACGATTGCGAGAACGAAGGCGACGCACAAGTCGATGAACGCGCGCATGGTAATGGTGAGGAGGCGGCGAAAATGGTCGTATGGCGGCGGCGG